AGGTTAAGAAACAACCTGATACTCTGTCTGCTTCCTTGGGGGACTCCCCCAGACCCAGAGCCCTAGAAGTGATGGCAAATTTATCTGAGGGGTGCCCAGAGATTTGTGGTTGAGGGTTATCGAGACACTGTGCGTGTCCTGTCCTTATCTTCTCAGACTACTCCATACTCACTGTTCTAGCAGGGCTGTGTACTATTGCCCCCCATCCCCAGGTCCCTGCAGCCTTGACCTGCTCATTAAGACAAGTCAGAGGGCTCCATGTAGGCAAAAAGTCTAATTAAAACAGGTGCACTTTACCTTAGTTTTCTGAATAGGTGTAATTTTTGAAAATTGCTGGTAGCTTTGACTTCCCTTTTACTGTTAAAATATTCTTTATTAAGAACTGAAGCTTGGAGAACTGGAGAAATATTTCTTTTGGGAAAATATTTGCCTCAAGATGTAAGATCATTTTTAAAGAATGAAGCAAATCTTATAAATTTAGACTCTTGTTAATAATAGTCATTATGCTGCTTTTGGTCTTCTGAACTCATTATTGATGTAGAGAGGAGAGCTGAGGGATCTAAGTGTGTGCCATGTGACTTTCCTAAGATCACTAACTTGGTAGTGGCAGACCTGTTTCTGGAACCCCTGCAAGCTGTTCCCAGGGCAGGAAGCTCCGGGAGAAGTCTCCAGAGCCTGGGACAGCTGACCTTTGACTGTTGTAAAGCTCAGTCAGTTTGGCAGGTATGTTTCATTAGGGTCCATCAGCCACAAGGAGTTCCTGTGAGCTTGGATGTGGTACTGCCAGACCCAGGGCTGCTGTGCAGGAGCCGACATGATGGGACTATTTTCTCTTCTCAGACCCCATTCCACTCTTGGCTGCTTTTGCTGTCTCTGGAAACCTCTACTTCTTTCCTACAAAGAAGCACTCACAGTCTGCAGCTCAATTCAAACTCTCCAAGAACCTGGGCTTCACTTTGCTCTGCCTGGGAAATACATTGGTGTCAATTTTAGCTTACTACTTACTCTCTGAAAATGATTCTGGGCAACAGTTGGTTATGTTTACATGTTTATTAAAGTCCTAAGCTCTTATTATGTGCTAGACCTTGCCCTGGGCATGTGCAAAATTGCCATCAGTGAGTATCAAGGCAGGAAGACTTTCATATGTTACTGAAAACAAAAACAGAAGCTAAACTACAAAGTCTCACACAGTTCACTTGACCCTTGGAAATTATCTTCTTCAAGGTGGCCTTCATAATTCAATTTAAAGCAAACCTATTTGGTAAAGGGTCTTGTGAGGAAGGCATTAGAGGCATAGGACAGTTTGATTTGACCATGAGGGTTTGGAACTGTTTCAGAGCCTTTCCCACTTTGCCTACCCAGAAAAAGTGCTTGGTATTTAGTTAAAAGCAACCATTCTGCCCCTAACCAAGCACAAAAGACCAGTGCATATCACCTAGGCATGCTTGCCTTCTGGGCACAATACCAAGTTTCAGGAAAAAAATCACACTGAGATTTTAAGTGAACAGGATTTTAAGTCAAATAATTTCTTGGCTTTACTGTTTCTCTGGCCTCCATTGCAGAAGGCCACAGCTCTTTGGATTTCTAGCTAGAATGGTTTGACCCACCATAGCTTGATTTGTGTTTCCAGAGTTGTGAAAAGTTTATATGATTCCTCTCGGCCTTTCTCACTTTATGATCAGACAACTGATGCACAGGCAGAGCAAAGTTAGAGGTTTGCCAGCCCCAGCACAAGGCAAAGTGAGCAAGGTGGACCTCATGCCCCCAGCATCCACTGCTTTGCCTTCACCTTAATTTTTTTGTTGTTGTAAAGTTGGCTCCTCACTTATTCATATTCTGATTTCCTAACCCTTTGTGGCTATTGCTAACTTTCTTCAAAATATTGGTTGAGGTGGACTCATGGCTGGGGAAGAAAAAGATATAACTAGAGAAAAATCCCTTGGGGATTGTGCTGGTACACAATTTTTATTGGGTCCTGGGGGGAATTGAAGTTTCCCCCAAAATGAGTTCATAGGAACTACATATTGAACTCTGTTGAGCATATTTTCTTCACTCTTCTGTGTATTATGTTTTGGTTTACTGTTAGTGTGGATTTAGTCCTCTCAACTTTCATCTGCTCTCTGTTTAGTTGTCATTTACTGAAGGTATTGTCCGTTTTTGGAAATGCAAAAGACAGTTGTCTATAAGCAACTCTTCTTCCCCTTTCCCCTCACACTTGTGATTTTGACTTTCAAAGGACTTGTTTCTTCCTTAAATTCCTATAAAAGATAAGAATAAAAGATAAAAAAATAAGATATTATTTTTCTTTATGCACTAACAACTCTATGATGACTATGTTTTGAAAATGAAGAACAGCCACCATTTATTGTATGTAAACTGTTTGAAAGATACTTTGCATCCCTTATTTTATTAATCTTAACAACAGTCCTATGAAGTAAGTATTATTAACCCCATTGTACACATTGAGGAAATGGAAGCTTAGAGACATTAAATTAAGTTTCCAAATTTTTTAGGTAGTAGGTGGCAGAGCAGAGATTCGAATCTAGCACTGTCAGAACCCAAAATTTTTAGCAAGACCCAACTGGTATGCAGACTGGATCAAATTAATAAGAAATGAAGGCATATATGATGTTTTCTAACTTGAATGAAATACTGATCAGCATTTAAAAATTATAGTATTACATTAAAAAGTCTGTATTGGGCACAGTGGGATTATATTCCTGCATGGCAGCAGTCCACTAGCCCTAAGGAGTGGCCATTTCTCTTAGTGGAGGCATGTACTCTCAGGCTGACATAATCCACTCCTTCCTACTGCATTACACCAGGTATTGCTTACCACCTCACCCACTTGGATCACCTGGTATGTGTTTGATTTGCAATCCTTATTCTAGTCTCTTGAGATGGCCTGTCCCAGGGTTAGAGTCCTGGCTTCACCCTTTGCTAATTTTGTGTCCTAGTATGTGTTTGATTTGCAATCCTTATTCTAGTCTCTTGAGATGGCCTGTCCCAGGGTTAGAGTCCTGGCTTCACCCTTTGCTAATTTTGTGTCCTTGGACAAGTTCCTTAATCCCTCAAAGTCTCAGTTTTCTTATCTCTAAATACCAAGCTCTTAAGGTTGTTTTAAAAGTTGAATATGGTAATCCACATAAAGTGTTTAGCATGGTGTCTGTTACATAGTAACATTTCTATAATGGTTAATGATAATGTTATTATTAACCACTATTCCAATTACCACTCTCCTCAGAAAGTGTTGTTCAACAAAGTTTGAATAGGGAATATTTTCAAGAATCAGCCTAAATTGTGTACTAGGCCATCAGAACCATTTATCATGAAAGCAATATGTGTTAAAATAGACAGTAGAGTGTGTGACTTTGACATTTGACGTGATTCACCTTCAACCTCTGACATTTTGGGGACCCTTAGAAAATTATTTGAACTCTCTCCTCATTCTTAAAATGGATATGAAAATGTACCTACTTCACAGTGATGTACATGGTGAGGATCAAGTGAGTAAATACATGTAAAATGCTTCAGAATGGTGCTTGGCACATACTATACACTCAGTGGATGTGCCCCACTACTGATAATGGTAAATGCTGAGTATGTGTGTGCTTCTGAGGAGATGCAGTTAGAATATTCAAAATTGGATTATTATAGAAAATTTGGGAAATCTGAAAACTAAAACTCTTGCCTCCATATCCTACCTTCTTAGTTTCCTACAGTTCAGGATTCTTGTTCCCTCCATCCTCCTAAAATCGCACTTTCAATGGTTGTCAAGTCACATCCAATGGCCTCTGCCTCATCTTCTAGAGGGGTCAGACATTTTAGAGATTAGCCAAACACAGTCAATTCTCAAAAGAGGAGGCTGGGGCTAAGAAGTCTTATACTTGCCCATAGCTAATTTGTGACAGACCGAAAGTTAAAAGCTTTACTGGTTGTGTATTTATTAGGTGACTGGGTTTATATCTATTTTGACAAATGGGGGATGGGGCTTGGAATCCAGTACGTGGCTGGGGTAAGAACTCTCCTCTCTCCTCTTTCACCTTGCTCTTTCTGACCCACAAACCTTGCTTAATGAGGCCTCGGTCCAGTTCATATTTTCAGAGGATTGCTTGTTTTCCACAGTGGGCCCTGGGCCCTGACCCTCCACAGCATGAAGACCTCGTCTCCTGATGGTTAATGTTTTCCCTCCCCTGGGCCCTGCCTCTCTGGGCCACGTTCCTTCCCCCTGCCGGCTCATCTGTTGCCTTGGGCTGGCTGCCTTGCTGGGCGGTGTTTCATGAGGCTCTGAGAGATGCCAGGAGGTAAGGGGAAGGGCCCTGAACGGCCTCAGTCATTGGACAAGCAGGCTCGGTGATGGATGAGCCTTCTCCCCAGGGAGTTTCGGGTCAGGAGAAGTCCAGCTGATAAGTTTTTCCAGAACTGAGTAACCCAGAAAGAGTGCCAGCAGCATCTTACCTCTTCTGTGGTTTTTGTACTGATTTTAAGGAAATGCTCAGCTGCAGTTCCACATCTTCCTAGAAATAGAGCTACATCCATGATAAACTTAGCTATCTGTGATACATGTCATTTTAGAAATCATATTTGAGGATGGGGTGGGAGGAAGGAAGAGATGGTCTTTTAAAAATCCCTTTCAAAATATTTTCTTTCTTGTAAATATTGAAGAGGCACAGTGTAACCCTTTCTTCTTCCAAATGATCTCATAGCTATTTATTGAGGGGAAATACCAACTGTTTATTTATTTTTCTTAAAGAGCTTCTTCGGCCCTGATGATTCACGTCAATACCATTTTCCTCCTGCCTGAGGAGGCTTTGAGACAAAGCTACACCCCAAGTGATACTCCGGTGTCGGAACAATTCCCATCCTGAGCAGGGTGAGCAGCCTTCTTTATTCCCCCTCCACACCCGTCCTTGAGCCCCTGAGACGGATGTGAGCGAGTTCTCCAGTCCTCATGCAAAACAACCGTCTAAACATAACAGATGACATCAGCTTGGGCTTTTCAATTCCTGGATGGCAGCAGCGTGTTAATCCAGCCTTCATCCTGGATTTCATAAACTAAAACAAGGGAGCCTGGCAGGAGGACAGCGCTGCTGCTGGGTTGAGGAAATTGATGACGGAGAAGCATGCGGGCAACCCAGTGTATAAAACTCATAAACGTGTAGGCAGAGGCTCAACTACCACTTTGGACAGCTGCTTCCCGCCAGCAAAGCCCTCGCCGCGGGAAGCTGAGCCGAGCTGCGGGGGAAACATGAAGAGCCTCTTGCTGCTGGCCACGCTGCTTGTCCCCGCGCACCCGGCGGCGGCCTGGAGCACCAAGTATGCGGTGGATTGCCCGGAGCGCTGTGACGCTAACCAGTGCAAAGGCAGCCTGCGCTGCAGGAGGACAGTGCTCGACGACTGTGGCTGCTGCCGGGTGTGCGCCGCGGGGCTGGGAGAAACCTGCTACCGCACAGTCTCGGGCATGGATGGCGTGAAGTGTGGCCCGGGGCTGAGGTGTCAGTTTTACAGTGAGGAGGATGATTTTGGTGACGAATTTGGTATCTGCAAAGGTAAAGAGTGACTCCCCTCGCTTCTCCCCGCCCCGTGCACACAGAGGGTTTTTAGCCTGATTGGGAGGTGAAGAGCCTTTCCTCCTAATGAGTAAGAGGGTAAGTGCAGGGGGTTTAGGGACAAGGCCCCATACAGGTGTTGTCACAGGGAGAAAGGGAAGGTGACTCTGCAAGTAGCCACTGAACCCAGTGTGAGGAAAGTGCAGAAATACAACATTTCACTTATTATGTTTAGGAGATTTAAGAAAAAAGTTGCAATGAAAAATTGTGTTATGTCCTTTTCTGGAAAACTTTAGAAACTTGACAGGTAATCTGTCTTGGCTGGTTTAGGCGCTCGTTTTTTTTTGCAAGACAGTGATGACTGCACTAGTAAGGTCTGCACTAGATAACCCCTGAGGGTGGTGTCTAACCCAGGAGTTTAGAGATTCTTTGATCTTGAAAGGATCCACCGGATGGAGGACATCTCTCAAGATGAAATATATCTGTTGAGCACCAATACACTTTGTGAAATAGGGTGGACTTCAGTCTAACAAAACAACACACATTCTTGGAAGATAATACCCTGAAGTATAAAGCAAACATCATTCCACTTCATAAAGGTTTTTGGTCATCTAGAAAAATAGCAGATGGTATAAGACAAGCAAAAGTAACAGTAAAGAAAAGTAAAAATTGAAAGTCTGTGAAGAATGAGGTTGGCAGTCTTACAGACTTAAAAAAAAACTACTAGGTTTTCTGAACAATGTAGTTAAACATTTGTAAAATTTAGTTCAAGGTTAATAACTGTAGTTGAAAATGTTTAATATGTTTAAGATGTTTAGAATCAAAAGAATGGTGATTTAAAAATATTCTATTTTTGGACACCTCCTGATCTTATCATAGAGTTATTAAGATGCAACACATACTATAGCCCTGTACATCAGTTTTATAACACAAAGGACCTTTTAAAATTGTGAAAAGGACTGAGAAATTTTGAAATAATTCTTGTATTTTATGTATTTAATACAACTGCATGCTTTTCTGAATGATAGTCATCCAGTATTGAGCTAATCTCATTAATTCTCCTACCTCATAGATAAATATTTTACAAATTAATCACATTTTAATCCATAAAGCATACTGAAGGTTAGGAAATAAATGCTTGAATTATAAGAATAATTTTATGTTTTGCTTAATTTGTTTTTGCTTACAACCAATAAAAGGTAGACTTTGGTAAACATTCACATACATTTCTTTCAGCTGGATAGGATCTGTATTCTCTGTAAATTATAGGACTTATCAGCCAAGAAAACAGTACTTCACTTAAGGAAATTAGGGGGGAAGTGGTTAACACAATCATACTTAAGATATAGCAAGTATATGCAGTAGATTCCTTTCTCTCTTGGCATAAAATCGCCTCTGTAAATGTGATTGTGAATGCACTATCACATGAGGGCAAAGAAACAAGCCGTAGGCATCTGGAGTCTTTTTTTTAAATTGAAGAATAATTGACATGTATGTCTATACATATGTTTGCTGCACAACAGTGACTAGATATTTATATACACTGTGAAATGGTCACCACAATAACTCTAGTTACCATACAAAGTTGTTACAATATTATTGACTACATGCATTATGCTTTACATTTCATCTCTGTGTCTTATTTATTTTATAACTAGAGATTATACTTCTTAATTGTCTTCACCTCTTTTGTCTATCCCCAGCCCTCTCCTCTCTGGAGTCTTTAGCACTGTTATTCCATTGGGTGACTGGGGTAGCTCTTAATGAGATATATTTGAAAAAGATATTTCAGATTACTCTTTTCTATATCCTTCAGATTGCCAGTGAGTCTAGTTTCAAACATTTTTCTCTCTGCTGGAAACAGTGAGCCTGTGTGAATCTCAACAACTCTAGATGGAGGCATTAAATTTTACTTTTTGCTAACTCCCTCCTTCTGCTTTTTTACAGAACATTCATTTGAAAATTGTTTTTCATATCCAGATATTTACTAAATATTCAGATGCTTGTATTGTGTTGCTCAGATAATACTTAGCCTGCTAACATATTTATTGAACACCTACTATCTGCCTAGCACCATTTAATACATTGGGGGGATACAACAGAAGTATAACTGAGAATTTGGCTATGATTTTAGTTTTTAATATCACTGGAGACACAGTCAGATCTCAATCCTATGTGCTTTTCTGCAAGTGGCTTTTTCAGGATCTATTTTTAAGGACTGTTCTTCCCAGTAGCGAGGCCACTGTCTAAAACCAGTTTCCTCTGTGATCTGAAGGACATGGAAAAGACCATTCCTAAATCTCTTTTAAAAATACATTTCATTAATATCTACTTTGGTCATTCTGTGGCATATCCAATTGCTAAAGAATCAGATGCCTCACAACTTTATTCCTTACCCATTTATGATTGTTCATTTATAAGGATATTCTCATGCAAAGAGAATTAATATTCTGCGTCCATTCTGCTTGGCTATTAAAGACTGGCTTGTCTACTGAGATGCTGTTTATAGCATAAAAACCTTCTTATGCCTTCTTAATAAATGAGTTTCTCCTCTTTTTTTCAATATAGTATGTTTTAGTTTGAGTATGAAAACATGGGGGCTCTCAAAACTTGTAGATTTTAGTAGGTATACAAATAAATTCTCAGCTTTCTTGTTCATTTAACATGTTGCATTTTAGCTTTGCAGAGAGTTTTGCTATGAATCCTCTTAATTTCTGGGGGAGTTAAGTTGTATTGCCATTTTGACAGATAAGGAAGTTGATAAGAGTAGAAGCAAATTGAGGATTGATCACTTCATAAAGAGCGGGATTGGCAGCCTAGGTAGTCTGAAGCCCTGTCCTATACATTTAAAAAGGTAAATTGTCTGGGGATATGATGGATTCAAAGACAGCATCTCATCTTTTAAACCCTTTGAGGAGCTGAAGCATGTGCCTGTTCAACTGCCCACCTTCACTGAGTTATCACAAAGGTAGCCTATGAGAACCTGTCTGTTGGTATCTAAGCAGAAAGTAACTAGAATTAGGACTTGTTCAAGGATATTGGTTACATACAGCTGTCTTCAACAAACTTCACAGCAGGACATTACAATGGATGGGTCTATGATCTGGTCCTAGTGTGTGATTTCACATTTGTGACTTAGAGTCCCAACGTTCAAAGCCTGTGTGTTTTTGAGAACTGGGTTTTATCTGACAGTAATGATTAATGAGGTTTGTTTAAATCCTGTGGCTGTGCCCACCGGGGCTGTAAGGACAGAGGCTTATGAACAGTGAGTGGCTTCCTCTCTCTGAACCTTCCCTTTGTCCTCAGACTGTCCCTACGGCACCTTCGGAATGGAATGCAAGGAGATGTGCCATTGTCAGTCGGGCATATGTGACAGGGTGACTGGCAAATGCCTGAAATTTCCCTTCTTCCAATATTCAGTAGCCAAGTCTTCCAACAGATTTGTTTCTCACACAGGTAAGAACTGATTCCAGTACAGACAAGGAACAATAGTTTCACATTTTCAAGCAAATTTTCAGTTTGAATAACTTAAAAAAGCATTGCTGAGTAGAGTAATATGTTGATTTGAGTGATTTTTGTCCATTTTACTCAAAGGAAAGGCAGATGGCTGCCGGGTTTATTTGTTGCTGCTGTTTTTTAAAAAAGTTTCATTAATAGGTTTAAGGGTTATACAATTGTTTAAAAAGTTTACCTCATTTATATGGAGGAGAAATATGATTGGTTAACAAAAAAAAAATCTATAATAAAAACCCAAGATATACAAAGTTCTTTAAATTCTTTAGTGATCTGCTTTATATACCTACTAGACAAAGCTACTTTTCTCCAACTTCACATAGAAAAAATACTCTGAGGAATTTATTGGATAAGGCTTAAGAGCCAAAATAAAACATACAGAACATTTCTTTTTTCTTTTTTAGCTGAATGGAAGCCTTAAAATGGATTAATTCCAAACATGTGTCTTATGCATTTTTGGAGAGGATAAGAGACAGTATCTTGGGATTATCCCCAAACCCTTGAATGAAGTTGTAGGAATACTCACATGCTGCTTGTTATGCATCTGTATTTCTTACACAGGTTGTTAGAATGTGAGACACACATCCTAGAAGATGGTGCTATGTCCATATTTGGTTATCTTGTTGAATAAAGTACAGTAAAGATTCATCAAATTTAAAGTAGCTCATTTAAAATAACATTGAGATTCAGTATATTTGGCAAATGTGCTTATCTCCCACCTTTACCTCCTTTTTTATACATGGGTACCATTAAGATAAAGGGGAAATGCTGTGACTTAAGTGAATTATTATTTTCAAATGTAGCACTGCCCTTAAACATTAATTTACTTTTTCTTAACTAACAGGTAAGTAGCTTCATAAATATTTCATCTGGAAATTGAGATGATTATTTTTACTTTTTATTTACTTATTATACATAGTTATTACATTTTAAATGTTTATGACTTCACCTGCAGTCTTTGAAAAGCAAAATGGAAGAAGACTGAGTTTTAAGTCCTGAAAAAATGTTCTTTATTGAGATGAAATTTACGTAACCATTTTAAAGTGAACAAACAATTCAGTGGCAGTTAGTACATTCAACCCAGTTGTAGCCACCACGCCTTTCAGTTCTGGAACTCCAGCAACCATTAAGCAGTTACCCCCGTTCCTCACAGCCCCCAAACCCTGGCAACCATCAATCTACTTTCTGAGACGTAGAAAGTTTTTGAATGATTTGATTGCCTTTATACAGGTTGGAAACCTGTTGTCTCAGTACAGCTAGCTGCCTCAAACACTTGAAACTTCTTTTGTCTTTATTTTGCTTTCTTAAAACTGCAGGCTGGGAAGAACTTTGAAAGAACAGCTTGTGCGTCCTTCTCACTCATTTAAGTTTGCACCTAAACCTTTCCTACCAAGAGAGAACTGAATCCCCTGTGAATCTTGGCTGGTGTTTGGGAGGAGTGTCTGGGGGCCACCAGCGCTCCTTTGGACTAATCCTCAGGGACGCATGCGCATCTCAGCCCCGCCCCTCCCGCGGCAGGCGCAGACCCTCTGCCCTCTTCTGCACTGTGTGTCTTTGGCCTGTCACCTTCTAATTTGCTTGCAGATTCTGCAACTATCTTGACTACTGTTTAGATGCTGTGGAAACAGATACACTGCTGGATGGAAGTTCCAGTATAGGTCACACAAAAAATATTTCTGTAACCACATTAGGTATCAAGATTCTTACTAGAAACTTATGGAAAAAAGCGTTTTCTAACCTCAGGTGTTTCCTTTCCTTAGCTAAACCCGTGTGGAATCTTGTTAAACTTAGGTCCGGGAAGGAGAGCAGAAGATCCTAAAGACTTTGTGGGGAAGCTGCTCAGTCCTGCATTGTCTGCTTGGGACGCCTGGGCTTCAGGAGCCAGTTTACAAAGGGGCCCTGGGGTCTCAGTTTTGCAGTGGGCTTCACATCACCTCTGTGCAAATCTGCTTGGGCCCAGCCTTTGTAAATGGCCCCAAGTTTCATCAGTATTTGGACTTCTGGAGTCCCGTTCCACACCCTGATTGCTCGGGGTTGTCTTCTCTAACTTGTTACCTGTTGTTTACAACACTCTCCGCAAGTGGGCTTCTGGGCTGTCTCCATTTGCTGTTGTTGGTTTTTTTTTTTTTTTTTGGTAGTGAGCTCTCCAGCTTTCTAAGACTGGGAACTCACAGGGAACTTATTTTTTGGGCGTGGGGCATTGTTAGGGGTGGTAAGACCTGGAATATTTCATGAATTTACACACATTCATCTTCCAGGCTGCACTAATCTCACAGCATTCCATTTCAGCATATACACAGCTGAAGCAAACTCACCTTATTGCTTGTAGAAGCAGATAAACTTCATTTTAGAAAATTCTAAATATTGCAAACTTTCCTTTCATGTAGAGCAAGAACTATCTTTATAAAGGTTCAGCCCTTTGGTCTGCCTTCTGGAGCCATACCAATAAACCAATCCCTCTTCTAGAACAGTTAGTATGAAAATCTTAGACATCTGTTCTTACAGCATTGGCTCATTCTGTAAGTATTTAAGTGCCTACTGTGTTCCAAGCACTGCTATAGCAGTGAACAAAAGATAGTCCTTGCCTTCATGAAGCTGATATTCTAGTGGTGGAGTGAGATTTTACAGAAAAAAAACAAAAGGCAAGTGCATATATTTGATAATGTCAGGTGATGATTGGTGTATGAATAGTTTAAGGGGGTGCTATCTTAGAGTTGCTAATTGACAGAAAGCAGGTGAGTACAATTAGCATAGACTCTGAATCTATTAAAGATTTCATTGTAAATCCATTGTAACACAAAAATAAGACAGAACTCTACTTGACCTTGTAGTTGTAGACATTTGGACATGATTTGCATTCCTTCTGATTGCAGAGCATGACATGGCTTCTGGAGACGGCAATGCTGTGAGAGAAGAGCTTGTGAAAGAGAAGGCTGCCCGGTCGCCTATAAGGAAATGGTTAAATCCGCGCTGATCCCAGTAGGATTTCGAAGAGAAGACTATTTTAACGATCGTTCAACACACAGCCAACATTTTAGGAACTGTCTAGATTATAGCATATGAACATGTAATTTTTGGAGACCAAGTGTGATTCAGGGTGGGTCCAGAAAAAAGAAAGTGGGCTACTAACAATCCATAAAATGCATATGACTGAACAGTTTTAGATATTTGTTAAGTACTTGAATGCATAAATTTGTTAAATATGTGTTTATAGTAATATTGAAGAACTAAAACTGCAATTTAGATAATAACATGGAGACAGATCAGCAAAGAGAAAGCTAGTCAGACCTAAGACTGCGGTGGGTCTGCGGTTCTGTGACTTGGATGTACATTCATGTTGGAATACGGGATGGAGGAAGAGTGGGGGTGGGGGAGGAGGGGAGCATGAGATTTAGATCTTTCTTGCTGTAGTGTCAATAGAACTTAATTGTGCATTTTTTTTACTTTGGGTAAAGTCAAAACAAAATAATCCCTGAGGGAAGTGGGATGTTTGATGCTTGTGGGAGTTTGAGTAGCAGCCTTGATTCGAGGCAGGTTTCAAAGGGCTGCTAATGTAGGTCCCAGGTTACCCTATCTGAAGGATGGTTCTGAGGCAGGAGACAAACATACATTTCCATAAATGGCCTTAAAGAATGTCACCTCAGACTGAGAGAGCTGGGAAGTATTTTGCCCACTTGGGGGAGGTGTGAAGGTAAATATTTATATATTTTTGTAAACAATTATGTTAGTATGAGTCATCCTCCATATCTATATTTATCACCCTCTTGAGAAAATGAACATAATATTGTTTGTTTAAAATGGTTAGAATAAAGGTGTAACTCTATAAGGTTTTCAAACATTCAAGCCATGGTAAATTTACTCATAATAATTATAGTAATATTAAGAGTAATAAGTATAAGGAAAACCTAGAAAAATTTAGTCATTATGGATTTATAAAATGTCCAAAAATGGACAACAGAGGGAATTTATTTAAAAGTAAGTGTAGCAACTTAGATGTTTTAAATTTGATGTAGAAAATGCTTCTTAGGAGGTTTGGAAAAGAGTTAATTTTCAGCAGGAAACATTAACTTTAAAATATAGCTCATTTTCACATTTTTTCCCTTTAAACTTGGAATTATGAGTACATTTGGGAGGATCTTAGCACAAATGGGATTGCTGGACTAGATTTTGCTAGGAAATTTTTGCAGAAGTATTTTATTTGGAGTGAAGACTTATTTGAGAATTATTTCACCATTTACCTGTATTTTATTCTTGAAGGTTGCCAGCGGAATTGTGAATGTGTGTGTGGGAGGGTCTTTGAATGTAAGCTGGATAAGCTGCTAGGATTTGTTTTAAAAGGATAAGTTTATGATTGTTCAATAAAAAAAAGCAAGACAGTGGCTCTGAGTCTATTGATGACTTCATTAAATTGTTAAAATTAATCAAATGATTCCTTCAATGAATAAGAACTCTTTTGTGCATATAAAACGCAGGCTCCTCAGCTGAATTTTCTGCTACAGATAACCATTTTCTGTTAAGACAGGAGGCCAAAATATTTATTTCTTTGCCCCACATTTTTGGTCAATTGGGGCTTTACACCTTCCTATATATTAACCATTCTACAAAGACAAAAAAAAAAAGATGAACACTTTTGCTGGTGTTTGAGAGTGGTTACCCTTTAGATGACATACGTAAAGGCAAACCTTGCAGCACTTGTAAAAGGATAGAGTAGCATACAATTTAGCAGCTTGAGAGTATCATATCTAAGAATAGTGTATGTTCACTTATGGGAAGATTATGGAAACATTTTCAGTGAATCAATACAATGCTAAAAAAAGATATGTCTGTATCAGGAAAAACATCCCATTTACCTGAATTTACCCCTTTTTTTTAAGATTGGAGAAACAATGTGAATGAGATAAAATGTTACATTAATACAGATATTAATACTACTATTAAATAAACCCAGAAAGCACCCAAAATCTTCACTTTCACCAGTGTGTGATGAAGTTTCAGAATATGCTCCCAGCAAGGTTACTAAAAGATCTGCTGCCTTGGCCTGAAGCCAAGAGCTGCACTCCAAATACCCCTTTGGGGTAGTGTGGCTGGTGAAACAAAAGCTAGACTAGGGCAGGACTTACCTCTGCTCAGGGCTCTGCAGCAACCACCCATGTGACTGGGGGCAATAAAATCAAAGGTGGGCTCAGCTGCTCTCCATTGCAGGCCTGTTGCCTAGCTGCCCAGCATCATGCTATTGGCAGCTCTTTGTGCTCTGCACTCCAAATGCTCGTACATTGCAAATGCACTCCAAACGCAATCCTGAATTTCTCTGTAGTCTTTTGACTCTACTCTCCACAGCAGAGGTCTCCAAAATCTCTGGATTTTGCCCTTTTTTGCAGTATTTTTGAGCATGCAGTTTAAAACTGTATACATTGCACGGTATTAATACATTATGTTTGTTATAAAACATGTATTTCAAACTAGAGATTTTTAAAAGGAAAAGAAATAAATAAAAATAGAAGTTCTGAGGTTTTCTTCCTGCACCCCTATGGACCATCCTGGGAAATACCAAAGAAGCAAAAGAACATGCCATAGGTCAGGGGTGTCCAGTGAGGCCTAACTTCATTTGACCTTGAAGAGAAACCAAGTGGGCACATAGTCCACACAACAAATATTTTTGGAATGAATGGATGGGTGGGTGAGTGGATGAGTAGAAGAGTCAAACGGGAAGATAGGTAGATAGAAGAATGAATGGGAAGAGGGATGAATGGGCAGATGACTGGAGGGATGAATGAATGCATGAATGGAACAGGAGACAGACCTCCTGTCTCCAGCAAAGCAGTAGCTACTGAGGGAGCAGAAGGCCTCTTACTCCCTTTCCTCTGGCAGCCCCCTATCTCCCTGATGGCTACTTATCCTGCCTATTGGGACATGAGGTGACTGAAAAAAACTGGGGACTTACATTAGTCAGGGAAGCTGACAGAAAAGGTTGTCTGTCCAGCGCAACAGAAACAGGAAGTACTTCACCCTCAGGCCCTGGGGACATTGCCAGGAGACATCACCCATGGTAGCCAAAAGTGTAAGATAATTTTCATGGTAGCCAGACTAGGTTGTCATTTTCTGTGGGAGGCAGTTTGGGAGGACTGTTGTTTCTATCCTGTACTTTATTCCTTTCTTTTGCTCTGAGCTCCCTAGGAGAAAGGATCCATAGATATAATTCACCATCAAATAGGATTTACTTACCCCACATTACAAATATGCATGATATGTATATATATCTGTATGAAGACTTAAAAAGTATACATCTTTTTGTGCAAAAATACTACTTTTATGATTTTATTCTAAGGAAATAATATTTTGAAGTGTACAAAAATATATATGCAAAAAATGTTGCAATGTTTTTACAACTGAAAAATTGTGAGTAATCTGAAAAGGTTGTTGATAGGATATTGGTAAAAGAAATGGCAGCATAGCCAAGAGCTGACTATAATTGAGACAGTGAAAATGATGGAGTGCGTAGAGAGCGATTGATGCAGTGTGTTTGCTCTGAAGCAGAAGGTGACAGTGCCATTGGTGTTGCGGGCTGGCCAGGTGGTGTGATTGTTGGAGGTGTGCACGTGGTATTTCTTGCCTAAATCACACCAGGGTGCAGACTCCTTCTAGAATTTCATGACTCCTTCTCCCCACTTTGAAAGCAGCTGTTCTTTTAAGATTATCAGGTTTTCCTGAAACATTTTCCTTAGTTTTCATAGAAACAACAATCCTCTTTTTGCATTGCTGGTTTATTGATCTACATAGTATTAGGTTATAGTAACTAAGTTATATAACAGGGATAACTGACACAGACAGGTTTGGAAACAAATGCAACAGATTCTTGGTATACTTTTGATTCCTACTGGTGGAAATACAAGTGTGCAGGTGCATCCCAGAGGGGACCTGCCTGCACCTTTCAGTGCACACTGTGGATACCAATAGTCACAGGTTATCCAGAGAGAATGGAGCTCCTTGGTGATTTCTTTGAGATCACTAAATGGAGGTGCTTAAGAGCACTTCTACTGTACATTAAGTGAAAAAGGCCGGCCACGATGCCATATGAATAATCTTATTTTTGTGAAAAAACATACAAATGGATATAAATTGAGATATCAACAGTGATGCTCACCTTATTCTTAAAATTTTTAGCTATTCTGTGGAATGTTTTCAGTTAGGTTTATAACTGGGAAGAAGAATAAAACTCTCCATTTAGGAAGATGTAAATTGTAGCAAACTTACACGAAGCAAAACAAATTAGGGGTTTATTACACAAATAGTGACTTAAGAACCTAAGCCTATATTACAGTAGTTTTGAGATGTACTTTGTCACCTGGACATTTTGTTAGGTATGGAAATAGGATTCCAAACCAAGAAACTCTGGAGAATTGTAGTTTTTTGTAAATATGAGGAAGGCTACAAGCCGTATTGGCATACCCTGCACCTCTCCTCTGGAACAAATCTCTGGTCCAATGGAAGTAAAGCCAGTGAATCCTTAGAAAGTAGAGATAAAGGTCTCTGGATCATAAGCACACATTTTAAATTACTGTATACATTTTGCATCTATGCACAGAAATGCTATCTGCTTAAGCGGGTGGTCAGGCCACCAGGGTTTCTAAAGTATTTCCTGACACCTGTGAAGTTGGTAAATATTTCCTGTTTTTGTTGTGTCTAGAGAAAACAGGAATTAACAATTTGGAAATGATTATTAAACAAACATTGTGTATGACCTCTACATAGGCAGTTCCTAATACATGGTTTCATTTTCTTAAAATCTATCATAATATATAGGGGAAAAAGCAAGGATAATCTGACAGCTAGTTGAATGGTGGAAGATAAACCTCATACCCAGGAGGAATGGCACTTACATTAGTTGTGGGAAGTACACTATGCCTTTTCAGAATTTAAATATAAATCCAATGGTAAGTCTTCAAAGGTAAACAAAACTGAGATAGTGAGCAATGAATATCCTATCAATGACTCTGTGCTACTACAAACAGTTAGCCTATTTGAAAAGTATTTTTGATTATTTTAAGTGCTATGGAAGGACCTGGAGTATTTGAGTCAGAGGGAGGCAGGATTAACTCCCTGCAATACTCACTATTTATTGACTTCAGGTGTGTTATTTAACCATGCTGCCCCTCAGACTCCTCTGGGAAAAGTGTGAGCAATGGCCTAAGTGCAAAGTTGTGAAGGCCTTTGCATATGTTCTGTGTATGCCATATTATCCTCTCACTGTGTCCTGCACTTACTAAGTTTTCCAATGAGTGGCAGATAATTGACATGTTATCATATAAGCCAACCTCATCTTTTGGGCATTTCAAGTGTCCATCAATGGCATGCAGCAAGACCAAAATTTAAATATTTTACATGATTTATTAAAGATGAAGAAATAGATAGACTAAAGAAAATCGACTGACTGTTTAGTAGACTTGAAGTGTCCTTAAAAGGTAAACAACAATGAGTGAAATTCATTTAGTATCATCTGAGACTCTCACAATTCTACAACAGGAGAGACTATTTTTACAGAACAAATAATAGTGTTCTATTTAAATCTCCAAACAATCATTAGCATGCTCCTGAAAAAAAGGTACAATGCTTCAGGAGAATGCAAGGGAGCCCTACAGATGTGGTATACTTCCCTGTGGGATATTTTTAGTTTTCTATTCCTGCCTTTTATTTTGGGACTTGGCCCGCTTCCTTTGTAGTTTCCCCTTAACTTGTTCATACCTTTCTTTCTTATATAATGCATTTCAGGCTGCCTCTTTTTTTTTTAACTTCTCAAAGGAAACCCAAGGAATGTTGGCCGATTCAGAAACCCCTGCTAATCTTGGCAGGAGCAGAGTTCTTGGTTTGAAAACAGCCTTGGAAATCCAGGATCATGGTTGACTTTCTAGTTATTTAATGAATCAGAGCTATGGGGGATCTGAAAACATAGGTTAGTAGATTTTGAATCCCATTCTCATAAAATTGCTTCATGGCTTGTAGAAACTGGAGGAATTTGGAAATGGACTGTCTTTGATAGACTTATATGAAAGCAAAATCCAATTTTAAAAATAAGAAGAGGGTCTAGTAAGTCTAGCTGAGGGCTGTCTGCCCTTTTATCTACAAGCAGTCAGGCTGTCTGGCTGCAGGAGCATTCATTCTGCAGAGTGTCAACGGAAGCAGAGTGAGGAGATGAGAAGTTAAGGCTCCTGTCTTTAAAGAGCCCTGTGAAAAGAAACTGTGGAGGTGGGGCAACCCGTAATGAAACACGCAGGTGCACAACTTAATCATATGCAGTAGGTTATGCCCTTTGGTTGCAAGCAAAACCAAACCAAACCAAACCACAAAGTGAAGAAACAGACTTGGGCCAGCTTCAACAAAAATG